AACAGTAACATCAATCTTTAAAGAAAACCAGATTACGTATTCATGAACACCAAACACCTGCATTCAGTGGTGGATTATCTGTATGACAAGGAGGATTTATCGCTGCTCTCTGTTGTCTACGTTGTGATTCCAAACACTGGGAGGAAAGCGTTTTGCTTAACAAACCTTTTCAACTTCTGTCCTCTCCTCCCAGAGCTCCCAGTCTGCAGTGCCCAACCAGAGCTCCCAGTGTCCTCCCACCTCCCCTCCACCCTGCTCCTCCTCTTCCTCCTCCATGTCCTCTTCATCCTCCTCTTCCTCACTGCTCGGATTGGAAACCGTCCAGCAACAGCCGCCGCCGCCACCACCACCTCAGCAGCAGCAAAGCATGATGGGAGGACCGGAGTGTCTACACGGTAAGCTGAAACTAGCAGTCAAGTTAAGTTAACAGAAAATAAATCCAGAACTATTTTAGTAATCCATTTTTGAGGCTGGTTCCAGATTTTGGGCTCTGAAAAAGATAACGTCCAGCTCTGGGAAAGTCATTTTTGATATTGTTTTGGCCAAATTATTAATTGATTAATTGGAAATTTGTAAAATCCGGTGGTGCAGTGTGGTTCCATTTTGACCCACTCAGGCAGAACAAAAGATCGTCACATCTTAAAAGTTTCAAAATGCAAAGAAGACAAAGTTAAACTGAGGAAACTTTACTGTCTGCAACTCCTAACAAGATCAAAACTGACGTCTTCATGCGAGAGGGCGACATTTCTAATGCAGCCAGACACACATGAAGCCGTACGTGGCCTTGATGTGATCCGGCACTAATGAGGACTCAGACCCACGATACATTACGCTAACTAATGCAATTCAACCGTTCAGCGCGTCTGACAATAACCAGAGTTGGATTCCCTCTAATTATATCTCTGCACGATGAATGGCTGACACCCTATTCTCCGGCCCTCCTCAAGTTTTTTTTTCCTCCCAACAGCCAGTTTTCATCCGTTATATATTCATAATTTGTTGCTTCCCCTCTCTCACTCTCTCTCTCTCTGCTGCTTTTGATGTGAACCAGAACTGCCAGAACATCAGAAGAGACTTTCTGTCTGTCTTTCTTTGATTTATTTATTTATTTCCCCCCCCTCTTCGGAGAGTCTGACAACTTTCAATTTCTGACTAATTGAAACCACAAAGCCATTCTTTATAATGCTGACGGCTATGTTTTTTGTTTTTTTTTGTCCTGTGAACCATCCAGTGAATCATCGCAGCTAATTTCGCGATGATTTATTGACGACAGACTGCCACATGTCTTTGTAAATGTTCGGCAGTTATGCAGACATTTAAAGGAAGCGTGAGACAAAGAGGGAACGAGTGTGTGAAGAAGATGATTGTAGACGGAGACAAAACTTTTTGTGTGTGTGATTTGTGTTGGAATTATTCGAAGAGTTTATTCTTTTTTCTTCTTTTTTTCCACATCACTATGTTTCTCAGTAATTTGTGAAGTTTTATCTTGTCATCAAAGTGTCACTGACTTGAATCGAGTGAAACAGAAAGGCTGTGATTCTAAACTTTGAGCAGGTTTTGGCTGTTTCTTTGCTCCTGACACATTTTTACTCACTGTGGGTTCATTTTTCATTGCAATATAAAGTCCTGCACCTCTATGGACACATCATAACCATGGTGATAAGTAGAGAGAACTCAGAAATGTCACCAGTGCAGTATAGTACACTTACAATGCCATAAATCATTAAAGAAAGAAAAAAAACAGCAAGGATTTTAAAAGCATACAAGTGTAAAAATCCCACCACCTCCCTTCAAGTCTCCATCTGAAGGCCACTCCTCCAAAACACATAAACGTGCGCTGCCTGAGTACAGGACTAATCCATGACAGCGAGCGCTGTTGGGGAGAGGAGCTTTAAAATTACCTCACGTCTAAAAAACACAGGCTCCATCACCACATTTGCAAAATGTCCCATTTAAAGCAAATTTAGACAAACATCAAATAAAAACCTTTGAATGGCACACTATATGTTAACTTTTATGATGCTGGAGGAGGATGGAGACACTGAAAGATGCACAAATACACAAATGGACATCCAGCGTATTTATCGTTGCAAGATGTTGCAGGTTCAGGTGAAATCTTGTCTGCTGTTCTTGTGTTCTATCTGCTCACTAGCTCGATCAGTACGTCCACCTCGCCTTGTGGAAGACTTCCATCATGCACAATGTAGAGTGCATGGAGGAAGGCAGGTATGTAGTTTGACATTCAGGACGGACATCCTGTCATTTCATGCAGACAGAATGGACACTTGATTCATTGATTACTGAAGAGACTTTCAACAAACATAACAACTCAAACACCCACTGGTGGATCTGCAATTCATGTTATGTTTGAAAAAAAAAAAAAGCCAAATTTTACTATTTATTAGTCAGAAAAACAGAAAGAATGTTCTAATTTTCAGCTTTTTGATGGTTCTGGACCTACTCATTTGTGACATGCAGTTTCATCAGAAAACTTGACCAAATCCAGGCTTAACATCACATGACATCAAAAATAACCTTATTCTGCATATACTGATCTGCGATCCTTGGTGCAACCATAAAACCATTAGTGAGTAAAATTCAGTGACTCTTCAGCTGAACTGCAGGCAGTATTTAGACAGAGCAGATAGGAGACAAGTATGGAAATACATTCAAAATCTAAAATATCTACAGTATGTCATCATTTTTTTCCAGTATTGGTTACACCTGTGGGCAGCTGGAAAATGATAAACATGATTCCAGATTTGATCAATTTTTTGTAAAATTAATAATAAAAGAAATTCAACTTTAATTTTTTTTTCTCCAATTCAACCCAATTTTATTAGTATAACCCAACAAATCTGATGTTTACTTGGGATTCCCTTTGAGAAAGAAACTTGGCGACAGTGTGGAGAAAAAAAAACACCCTTTGCCATGAAGGCAAAACGTCCAGCAGAACCAGGCTCAGGGAGGGCAGACATCTGCCACAGCTGGTTGGGGTAAGGGTAATTCATGATTAATTATTATGATTATTTATGGCATTGTAACTTTGTCAGTCTGAACAAAGTACATTTTAAGTTCTCTCTATTTCTAGTCATGGTTGTGCTCTTCCCATAAAGGTGCAGGACTTTGTATTGCAGTGAAAAATGAGCCAGCAATGATGAAAAAATATGACAAGAGCAAAAAACAAAAAACACCCATAAACTGCTCAGAGTTCAAAGAGTTAATGGAAGATGAGATTTGAAGGTGTTCAAACAAGCAAGCCGGTTCATCCCCTTTAATTCTGTGTGTGAAAACGGCGGCTGATTGCTTTCGTATTAGAGACGCAGCTCAGGGAATTAAAAGGGGGGGTGAAGGAAGGGATGGGAGCCACAGTGTAACTGCTGTATCCTCAGAGGAAGTGAAACATCAGAACGCATCATTCTCCCGCTCCGTGTGACAGCACCGCATATATATTTTGCATCAGCTTGTTTGAATCTTGGCAACACTTTGTTCACGTGTCGCTAAAATTCAACTCGACGTGTTAGAATTTAAAATCATGTCCTGGAGGTTGGACGGAGCCACCCGCTGGCACATGGGCTCCTCTGGTTTTTCTTCTCGTGTAGAAAACGTGGGTCACTTCACTGGTTGGTTGCTGTGTTCGTATTTGTTGCTCCGAGTGTGCAGCATGAAGAGTTTGAATGATGCGGAGAGAGGGGGGAAAAACAGAGATTAAGGTGCCCAGCAGGATCAGATTCTGAGAAAATCTGCCCAGGACATTGTGTTTGTCTTTTTATTCTGAGTGGGTAAACAGTACATGGGGAGATGTTTCAGTGCAGAAAATATTGAAAAATGAGATGCATGAAAGGAAGCAGCAGAGGTTCATCCAGGACAGAGAGAACACTGCTGCTGCAAGTCTTCAAATCTGCCCCGAGCGTCTGCGAATACACTCCGTCGGCGCGTGTTTGTGTGCATGCACGGCTTTGTGATGCGCCGAACTTCCAACATGCATATGAGAGTGTCCTCTTTGTTTCGGCATTTGCATGCAACTATGTAGGCTCTAATGTGAACATGCTTTCATCTTGCAGTGCGCGACTCTCTGTGTGCTCTTTATTCTGAATTATAAACACGTGACTGGGCTGAGCGTGATGCATCCAGCCAGAAATCCCTCAGGTCGCTGTGGAGCTGAAGTGTTACTACAGAGCTGCAAAGAGAGAGAGAATCAAGGCAGAGAAATAGATGGAAAATAGACTGGAAATAATAATCTCATCCACATGCACATGTTTTACTTTGATTTAATTCATTCTGGGCAAAAAAGGAGAGCAGCTTTACAGGGAGGCAAAACAGAAATATCGATGCAGCTGAGGTTTTTATAAGAAGCTCTTTTTGCTCCTAAATTGCTGTAAATCATAAATATTCACATTTGAGAGGACACAAGCTGAGGCTCTTAGTTTAAGCTGGTGAAAATGGACAAAAACAGGCGTGCATATAATAGCAGCTGTGGTCAGGTAACTGTAGCACAAATATTCCACAAAATATCGTTGTTTCCTCCTCATAAACCGCACAAGCTCAGTTTTTTTTTGCTACTAGATCTTAGCCTGAAAACTGTCCACTGAGACTCAGCTGAGCCTTGGAGCAGGACCAAACTGAGCTTTGATGTCTTTCACTGTCTCTGAAACCCCAAAACCTTGGAAATAAAACCATCATTTTAAGGTTTCGGCTCAATTTTACGACCCCGTGAATCCTAAACTTGCGTTTCCTGCTGCAAGAAAAACCCGATCGCCACAGTTTACAGCAAACGCAGGCCTCATGTGGCAACAACAGTCAGTTGAGCTGCTCCGAAACAAATATAGACTAAAAGCCTTTGATCCTGTCCCTTATGCATTTTATGTCTGTGGTGCAAATGGTATTTTAGGAGTTTTTTGTTACATTTTAGTTTGCTTTTGCTTTAATAACATAAAAATACTAATGTTCAGCTCCACTTATGAGCAAAATCAGTGTTCGAGCTCTGGTTTTCTATCTGCGTAGACAATTTCTTACATCATTCTTGATAATTTAGAAAAAATTTCCTGAAGTTTTTCCATTTTGATTATTGGAAACGGATCCCCGTCACATCTGCCTTGATCCAATCACATGTGAAAAGCGTTAATGTTAATATTTTAGTTAGAAGAGGAGAGAATTTGTCAGTTTTACCCTCAATCCAGTCACCTGCAATGTCATTTTTGGTCAACACCCACTGATGATGCTCTTCACCCAAGCAAATGCTGGAAAAAAGGGGTAATAACCACTTTTTTAAAAAGTCCTTAGCTCAAGAAAATAATCATGAATCACTTTTACTTGCAGTCCCAATCAAGCTGCAGCTTCAGCACTTCCAGGTCAGTTCACTGAGTCAGAAACCCTCCTAATCAAAGCAGACTTT